TTTGCATCAAGGGTTTCAGACTTTCGTGTAATATGAAAAAGATAAAGAGAATGGAGAAAGTTCTGAGAAGCTATCTATGGCTTAAGTTTATAGTTGTTATTTTACTTTATTTTTATAATTTTAATTATTTTAAAATTATTAATATTCATGAGTATCAATTAAAAAGGAAATAGTAATTTAAATCTTAATTAATTTTTAGTTGTTAATATTATTTAAATAAAATGATGGAGAAATTTTAAAAGGATCATGTTTAATTGAATTAATTTAAGAGAGGAGCATGCTTAAAAAAAATTAAAAAGTGATCATACACAAAAAACTTTGCGTTTTCAGCTTGGAAATAGAGAGAGAGGGGAGTGAATTGGCATGTCAAGCAAAAAGAAAAGAGAGAAAGAGTGAGACTTTAATTTAATTTTTTCTGGACAAAGAGAAATGAGAGGTTGAGAGAATCAAATAGAGAGAGAGGGGAAGAAATCAATTTAAAATTTAAATAATTTCATTTTATATTTCTATATTTAATTAAATTTATTAATTTAAAATTTTTAGTAACACTTTAAATAATATTATTAAATATTTAAATAAAATTAATAAAAAGATATTAAAAAATTTAATATGATAAATATAAAGAATATAAACTCTTTTTACACCATTATAATTTTTATTAACTTAAATATAATTATAATTTAATATTATATATGATTATCTATTAATTTTAAATATATATATATATATATTATTAAAACGTATCAATTGTTAAATAAAAAAATTTTTTTAGATTTAATAAAGTGTAAAATTTATAAATGTTAAAATAATTAAGATAGCAGTTAAAATTATTTTAATAAGTTAATAAATTAATTTATTAGATACATAAAAATTTGTTATAATAACGTATAAATATACAATATCATTATTTTCTGCTTTTTTAATTTGAATAAAATTAAATGTATTTTAAAAAACAGATTAAAATCATTTTATTTAAATATTTTGAAGAAATTTAACATACTTTTTTTACAATTGATATATTTAATTGTTATATATATATTGATATAATAATAGAATAACATTATTACTTTAAATACTGATATTTTTTAAGTTTATTAAAGTTAAATTATTAAAAAAAAAACAGAATTAATGAAAAAATTTATTATAACTAAAGTTAAAGCTAATAGTTATTAAAATTTAACATTCAATTTTTATCTCAAAAATTTATTCTCCAAAAAATTTTAATATTTATTTTAGTTAAATAAATAAATTTTAAATAATAATATGGAATAAACAAATTAAAAAGTAAAATTATTTTTAATATATTTAATAAAAGTATTTTATATTTTAAAATTTTTAATTTAATTTTTTAAAAATATTATTTTTAAATAATTAAAAATTAGAAAATTTGTTATTAAAAAATAAGTTAAAAACCAATTATATTTAAATTTGAAAACTAATAAACTCTATTATCTCCTAATCCATTTTTCTCTCTCTGAATTCAAGGGCTCAACCTCTACGCCTCTCTTCTCTCTCTGCATTCAATGTTTTGGGAAAATCATAATTTTAAGAAAAGAAAACGTGAACATAGATCTTGTTTTGAGAAAATCAAAGATTCTTTGCGTTTTCTTCCAAACGCAGCCTTGGCCTTCAACGTTTTTATGCAAAAACGCCCCCCATTTTGCGTTTTTGATTCCTATTTAAAATTTAATTTTATTTTATGATTCCTTATCCTAAGATCTCAACAATTAAATATGTTCCTTTTAAAAAAATTTGCCCTAAAATGATTATTTAAATATTGATTTATTTCTTATTTAATTAATCAGATAAATTATTTATTCATAATTTTATAAATTATAATTTAATGATCAGTATATTGAGATGTTATTTTATACTAATTAAAATTTAATTAGTATAATTAATTGATAAAAAAATTTAATAAATTATTATATTAAATTAATAAATTATATATGATTCATTAATCAAAACTTGAATCATCATAAATAATTAAAAGATTTTTATTTGATTTGATTAATAGAAGTTATCATGTTTAAGTAGCTTAATAATTTTTGTTAATAATTATTAATCCAAATATTATTTTTATTACTATATAATTATATAATCTAATTAGATAATATAAGTCAAAAAAAATTTTAAATATTTCAATAAAATATTATTAAATTATCTTAAATATATAAATAATATAGTAATATATATATATATATATATATAATATATATATTAATTATATAACTACTATTAATCTATTATTACTTAGAATAGTTATCTACTTATTATTTAGAATATTAATTATCTAATATATTATATAATTAATTATGTATTTTTATTTTTTTAATTTATATTAATTAAATCACTTAAATTAATTCCTAAATAACTAGGGACGATTTCCAGTTTTCCATTCTTCTGCTTTCTTTCGTTGCTGTTGTATCGCGTCTGCGTGCCTTGCGTGAGCTAGGGTTTTCAACCGAGTCGCTAAAACCTTCTTCGCCTCCTTCGACGGCGTTCCTTCTGTCGAATCGGAAGTCGCGAAAGTTCGCTTCTTCTTGTTGGATCGGACGTAGCGACGGGAGCTCGCTTCCTGTGAAAGTAACTATCTTCTTCAGCCAAATCCCCTAAATCCGCCGAACTCCAGGATTCCGTAAATCTACCGGCTGCTTAAATCCTGTTCATAAATCCTACTTAAATCCTGCATAAATACTGTTGTCAGCCCCATAATATCCCACCTTCCTTCATCTTCTGCAATCAACCACTAGCCACAATGGCTGCGGACACGCTGCCTCGGCCCATGAAAATCGCTGAGGCCACCTACCACATCCAATTATTCCTCATCGAATGCCCTTCATGCTCCACTGAACAGCTTCTCACTGCTGGTTATCTCCTGTCCCGCCCAGATTATCAGGACATTGTTGTCGAGCGCTCCATCGTGGGCTTCTGTGGCTACCCTCTTTGTCATAACCGTCTTCCTTCTGTGGACCGCAATCGCCATGCCCGATTCAAAGTCTCTCTTCGAGATCAGCGTATCTACAACCTCGAAGAGACCTATAAATACTGCTCCGAAGCTTGCCAGGTCCGTAGCATGGCATTCTCCAAGAGCCTCAGCACGGAACGTGCATGTGATCTGAATCAAGCAAGAATTGAGCAAGCCCTCAGGTTGTTTGGGAATTTGGATGTTGGAGGCGAGGAATTCGAGGATGAAGGAGATGTGGGGATTAAGAGTTTGAGCATTAAGGAGAAAGGGGTTGCTGGAGCAGGTGAAGTTTCTTTAAATGAGTGGATTGGGCCAGCGAATGCTATCGAGGGATATGTGCCCCAACGTGATAGAATCACAGATTCTGGTAAGTTTTGATTGTATTTCTTTCTTTGTTTTTGATTTTCTTCCCTAGCTCATCTCTGCATTTTGTTATCTTTTTCATTTATTTTTAATTGAACGACTTTAAATTTGCGTGACCCTTGAACATAAAAATCTTCTTTACAATTTGTTAATAAATATGAATTGGTCTATATAGTTTAATGAAGAAAAATATTTTAAGAATTGATGTAAATAATTTAAGTCACTTGCCTCATCATCTTCTTAGTAACTTTGAAGTGAAGTTTTTTGTTACATTGTTGCATGATTACATTTAGCATTTGATTTTTAATTTCTTTGGCTTCACCTTATATTAATTTGTTGGTTGTTGTGCTCTAATAAATGAAGTCCACTACTCATACTGATATGGGTTCTTGAGTGTATTCTCCATGATGAAGATATAGAGTTTGTGACTTCATTTATTAAGCACAAACATTGATATGAGACACAAACACAATGTGACATGCATGCCAGACTTGACCTTAAAAGGAAAAAAAATTGGACACAATACATTATAAGTACAACATGTCTATGATAAATTACTAAAAGAATAGTAGTTAAAAGACCAAATGCCAATTTTTTTTAGAAAAATATATTGCTTAATGAAATGTTCAAATATAATATCATAATGTATCATATAAAAAGCGTAACTAATATTTATTTAATTGTCATTATATTTTGATATTTCATCAAGTTTACTTTATTCTTGATAACACACTATCATTAATATTAATAATCAGGCATCATTTAACATTATACTTTTTTATGCAAAATATCAAAATCCTAAAGTGTTTTTAAGCTTCAAAATAACTACACAAAATATGAACTCATTGATGCAGCAATAATTGGACTTAAGAAACCCAACACTAGGGATGTAAGGCTAATCGATCATCCAATATTAAAAAATTACTAAACCAAAAATAATTTGCTCGTGCACTGGTATTTTGATGCATGTCTTGTCCATGCTTGACTCTAATTTTGGAAATAGGACATCAACCACAATTTTTAGCATATCAAATGCTTATGGAAGGCGTTTTGTGTTTGATGTGTCCGTGTTGGAAATGAAAGTCTTTTTAAAATGTCCGTGCTTCATATGTGCACTTGAATTAGAGATTACAATGTCACATTTTACACAAATATCAAATCTATTTTATAAAAGGCAATGCAGAAGCAATATAATTCAAACAAAGTTGCTTTCTAAGTGAAAGTTCACTTTTGTTTGATGAGATTTGCTAGTAAACTTTAATGTTATCTACATAGGTAAATAAATTCTTTGAATAGGAATACTAATTTCAAATTAGCTTAATAATGTTGGATTTGATCACTTTATCCCCTTGATTTTGTTTCTTTTAATTACTTTGCACATGATTATAATGCTGCAATACTTGTTTTTTTTAATAATATTGCAGGGTTAAACATTATACCTCAACAACATTTTGGGAAGAAGATTGAGGGTGCTAGAGATAGTCGAGCACCATTTGCTAGTAGTAGTCTGCTTGTGGGTAATGAGTCTAATGAAATTCATTTAAAAGAATCTTCTAATGTTAAATTGCCGAGAGCTAAAAAAAGAGATGCAAACAATGCAGATAAGAAAAAAAAGTCAAAGAAAACTGCATCAAAGACATCCAAACTTAAATTGAAAAAAAATCCAGATGATTATGGGCATGGTAATATGGATTTCACAAGCAGTGTAATTGTCGGGACTGGATTTGATGATCATAATGCTTTGTCTCTCACAGGACAGGATATTTCAGAAGTGATAGCTAAACAGTTGGAAAATGTGGTCCTTGAAGAGAAGAAAATTGAAAAAAAAGTTGGTATATCAAAACCATCTAGATTCAAAGATCATAAAAAATTAGAAGATGCAACAAATGAAAAAGTTCTTTCAAAGGAGATTAATGGAGTATTGGTTGATGTTTGCTTTGGAGAGGAGTCAGACAAAACTGCAGTTAATATATCTAATTATGAAGAATTTTCAGAAAAGAAGGCTTCATCAAATGAAACTATGGTTATGGAACTTGAAGACAAAATTTCTTCAGCGAAGAAGGAAATATCAAAGGAGAAATTGCTTAAGTCTTGCTTAAAGAATTCAGGATCCAGAGTTGGAGACCATTATGTTAAATGGGCTGATGAGAAAAGAAATGCATCTTTTGAGGATAAAATGACCATACCTCAAGAATCATCAGAAGAACTATTTGATAGCTCTGTACGTATTGCATCAGCTGAGGTTTGTGCTGTTGCACTCACCCAGGCTGCAGAGTCTGTTGTATCCGGAAAAGCTGAAGTTGGGGATGCGGGTAAACACTTTTCGCTGTCAAATAATTTTCGATTAAAACATCTAATTATTAACCATTTATAATTTTCAAAGTATAGATGATAGCAAGTTAACAAATCATTGTTGATTTTTTGCGATTATATTCCTATCTCTTTCAGTTTTAGAGGCTGGAATTTTAATCTTACCACAATTACAATGCCTCGAAGGAGAAAGGGTAGATGATGAGAATATTTTCAAATTTGATCAAGGTATAGTAAAATGGCCTAAGAAGACAGTGCTTTTAGACACCAATATGTTTGAGGTCGAAGACTCATGGCATGATACACCACCAGAAGGTTTCAGCCTAAATGTATGCTTTATTTATGCTATTGATTGCCATGTTATTTTATTTTTGAATCGTTTGTTCTATAAATTGCAACATGGTATTCTATTTTTTTAGCTATCACCATTTGCAACAATGTGGATGGCACTGTTTGGATGGATAACTTGTTCTTCATTGGCATATATATATGGACATGATGAAAGCTCCTATGAAAATTTCATGCTTATTAATGGAAAGGAGTATCCAAGAAAGGTAATCATGAGTGATGGGAAGTCATTAGAAATAAGGCAGATACTGGATGGCTTCATTTGTCGTACCTTGTCTGTTGTTGTCAAGGATCTAAGCCTACCAGTATCAGTTTCAACCTTGGAAAAGTTCATGGTATGCATGTTATAGCTTCTAAGTTCTACATTTTACATGAGCCAAAATGTAATACTCAAATTAGTAAACATTTTTAAGCATTTGCTATTTTTATATGTTGTTATTTATTTGTCGTGTTCTAACATTTTTGACAATACCTATCATATCTTAAGTTCTAACATTTTTGGCAATACCTATCATATCTTAGTAAGTATAAAATTTTAAAGTTATTATAGTCAGCACTGCAATTTTTCTTAGGTTGACTTGAGAACTTGTGATCATTCTTATTAAGGTCAACTATCCCATCAAGGTGCTAAGTCCTGAAATTAATGAGAGGCAAGCTTTGCCACTTAATGTATTATTTTACAATTAAACTCAAAGTAATCCCACTGGAATTTTTTTACATGTAAAATTTATATTTCTTGGATATTCAAAACAATATGCTATAGCGTTGTAAAAGAAATTCTCATCCAAATCGTGTACTAGATGAACTAGCATTCGTATAGAATAAGTTTCTTATTTTATATAACAAAACTTTCTGGGTGCTTAATTCTCGATCACTAGGTCCATGCACTCCCTACCCTTAAAACCAATTGAAGTTGATTTGTGGGCATGAGACCACCTTAAGCTCCTTTCAATTATGTGATCATAGATTAGCATGATATCATTTAAATGAAACCAGATGCATCTTAAAAAATGGGTTAAATATTCAACCCACATAAGTTAAAGTGAAATAATTTTTCATATGCAACAACTGGATCATAGGAATCAAGTAGCAACCTTTTCATCTCATTATTGCTCAAAATTTCATTCAAAGGAGACACCAATAAAAAAAAGGATTATTTCCAATAATATTGAAAAAAATCTAAAAAAAGTGCCGCAAATGTCTACAAATGATAGTAACTTCAACTAAACCTCATTTCCAAAAGGCTATATTGATTATAATATCACAATTTCAGTTTTAGTATGACCATTGCAAAATACATGGGTGAAACTTGGGTATCACAAAATACACTAAGAAAAGTTCATATGGACATGTCATAATAAGCTGAATGCATTATTGCAGCAAAGCACAAACTTATAACATCTATTCATGAAGGTAGTCTATTAATTGTATACTTTTGAATAAGTACAAGAAAGTATGCAATATAGAGTAGTGATGGAAGAATATTGGGAAGGTGTCATTTGTTTTCCTTTCCATGTATGAGTAGTAATAGGAGGCCATGGAATTTGGATTACTAGACTCGTGTGAAAAAAGCAAAACAAGGAAGGGATTACAGTTTTCCTTTTGTCAAAGTTAGATAAGGGAAATATTTTTAAAGTTAGAAGGATTCAATTTATGTTGAATTAACACTTCTTAGCATGTAATGTTGAATTAATACTTCTTAGCATGTAATAGATAGCACATTTTCAATATGATGACAACAATAAGAAAAGGGTGGTTTGGTTATTGTATACCATAAAAGAAAAGAACTCTTTCTTGTCCAAATCAATTAGTCTCTAAGCTAAGATGCTATCTATGTGCTATTTACCTAGCTTCTAAGTCAAGGCGCTATTTAGGTGCTATTTAGGAGTTCACTTTTTTCATGTGCATTGCGTCCATAGGCTTAGGGTCAAGGAGCTTAGTTGCCTTCTCTCTTCAAAATGTAAATTGAGGTACTTCGGCGTTAGTTCTTGGATAGGTTAGGTTGAAATTAGATATCTTTCTTATGATGTGGTAGAATTTGAAGCCCTTTTCATATAAAAGGAATGTAAACATTTGAAATTAAGAATAGGACAAGTTAGAAGCAATATGACTTCACATACCTATTTTTAGATTGAATTAGCTATTGTGAAAGAGCTCAAGTCTCTAACTGAAAATGAAATATAAACAATTTACGTGTTTAGTCGTTAACCATTGATTTGAGAAATTTCAACCCCTTTTTAACTTCTCACTCAAACCCCTAGCTTCAAAATAGAACCTATAGTGTATTTATTAACTTTTAATCATATTCATGCCATTGTGAAAATATAAATGCTTGTGTCATTGTCATATTGACTTGAGTAATTCCGTACAAAAAATGAAGCAATCGAAAATTTCTATTTACTTCTAGTAACCTATTAGTGTGGTAATACTTATGCTATAGAGGTGGGATGTGATGAGTTGATAGCTAAATGCAAGTAAATAATTACTTTCTCTACCTGAAAAAATGAGATTAATTTATGTTTACACACCATTTGTTGGGTTCATCTCTAAAAAGAATGCATGTTTTTTGTGCTGTCATGTAGATTCCTATCACCTATGAACATATAACAAATGTAGAATTTTCTTGGGAAATGATTACATTGGCTAGAAATTACTAAAATGACTTTGTTGGGGCTGCTTATGTGAGTCGTAATCTTACAATTATATTGATGCGGCGATTTTTTTTTATGGTGTTATAAGTTGAGAGAGAATGCATGGAAATTGTGAATTAAAATTAGATGAGCATTTTGGCATTGCAATACATAATCTTTGTAAATGAATCCAAATTGGCAGGGTTAAGATAATTTGAAAGAGTATACTGATCAGGTCCTATTTTGTTGTCTGACATATTCTAGTTGATATAAGTGTTTTAAAATAAAAAGCTGATTAATTTAATTACTCAGTTGATTAAATTAATTAACTTAATGCCTTTTTTATTTATTCCTTATCCGTTTCTTTGCTTTCTTGTATGAGGGTTGTTTGGACTTTTCTTCTATAAAAGAGGAGGCGGGTGTGATAAGAAAAGGCAGAAGTCATTTTTGGAGTAAGATTTTTCTTTCTCTATTTTTTGGGTTGAGAGCGTGGAAGCTGTTCCGAGAAAGGGTTAGGGTTTTGAGTTCGGTTTGGCTTCTTGTGTGAGGAGGAAGAGAGGGTTTAGAAATCTGAAGTTTTCTGTGTGTGTTAAAGAGGGTGAATCCTTCTTGTTTCTCTAGCTTCTTCTTCTTGTCAGAGAAAAACAATCATAAGGGATTGTCGGTTGGAAGCAAGATATAACACATAAAAATGCACAAGTTATGAAGTGAAATCAAAATATCCCAATAATAAGACAACATGAAATATAGTTCAACTCAAACTCCATCTTTCCCAAATCACAATATTTTTTTTGTTAACATATAATTCCAAAAATAAATAGCAATGACATATCACATAAGAACTCATAAGTCATCAACTCTGTCATCACTAAGGGGTTCTTCATTTGAATCATCATTATGATGAACTGCTCTCTCTCCTTCATCCTCTCCTATAGAGTCCAATGTCTCACAATCAGCTCCTTCCTCAATATCAGCTATCTTTCTCTTCCCTAAATATTTTTGAACAATATCAAAATGAATAATAGTGTAATCCAAACTATATTATTTATATACCTTTTTTTGATGAAATGGGCTTCATCGAAGAAGATGATTCCGTAACGCTGCGCTCACTCCCGTAGTAAGAGCCAACATCAACTCTATCCTCAAATTGCTTCTGTGCAAGATGTTTTGACGTGGTAGATTTATTCATGTATGACTTTATCTTCTCCCTTATAGTATCAGAAACTTTGAAGCATGGAGCAACATTCTTGTGAGAGTGTGAGACCTTGAAAGATGATCCTTCATCCTAGTCACATTACCCTTCACAACTTGGTCACAGTAATTGCATTTTAGATAGATATATGTTTTATTATATCCTCCTACATCCACTTGAGTGCTATGTTTCCATGCTGGATATTTTCTATGATCTGATGCAGTTTTATCCTTACTTCTGACCATCATTTATGAGAAAAATATATTAGTGTAATATATCAAACCCCTAAACTAATGTTTCATTTATTCTACACTAAGAAAACTTATACAAAGCATGCACACATTAAGAAGAAGACTAATACTAACAACTATTACTAAAGATGATGAATACAACAATATGTCGGGCAGCCGAGGGTCCAAGGGGCGCTGCCCCTTGGCGGGGTTTGACCTGCCTGGCCAGCTCGCGGGGTCAAGAGGCAGTGTAGGGGTTTCCGGGGGCGCTGCCCCCAGAACAAATTTTTATTGTAAGAGTAATTTTGAAGTTCTGCTTATTTTTAAAGTTCATAAGTCGTTTGTATGGAAAAATACCGAGCGGTACCGAGCATGTACCTAATGATACCGAGCGATACCAAGCAGTACCGAGCAGACAAATCGATTGTGGAATCTTACTCAGCAGAATATGGAGGTCCTTATGGCAGAACGGACCAATATTGTATTTCACAATAAGGTGATAGATGAAACCACAAAAAAGAAGAGCTTTCAACGGTTGGTCGAAGGAGACTCCAGCCCAACTCGCGGTAGAAGAGAACTCCAAGTAATAGGCGAAGAGTAATTCACGGTGGAAGGAAATCGACACTGATCGAATGGAAAGAACTCAGGATTAGGGGTAAATGCCGCTCAAAGAAGAAACCTAGTTTCGGTTCGAAAATAACCGAAGACGTTACAGGGGTGGGGAGCTGAACCGAATAGATATATATTAGGTTAGTTTTTTTTTCAATATTTTAAGAGACGGACGCCTCTAAAACATGAGGCGAGGCACGCCTCAAGGCGCACCTCAATGAACTTGAGGTGTACGCCTCAATGCCAACTCTCATTGCGTAGGCTTTGAGGCTTTAAAGTTTAAAATTGCGTTGAGGCGTGCCTCTTATTGCACAATTTTAAACCATGTTTTTATTATTGTTATTTGTTTTTAGTTTGAGATCTGTACAAGATCTGTACCGAGAAGCTATTTTACTGTTTTGGAATTTTATTTCAGCCGACTGTTGGCTGCTAGCGGTATATTTGTGTTGCTTCTCTGCTTCTATAATTTTTGTATCCAATTTTTCCCACTCATATTTGAATAAGGAGAGATGATCGAGATTGCCCAGTGTATGTAGAGTTCACAAGTACTCAAACCACGTAATTCTGTTGTGTTCTTGTTTTTATTCCTCCTGAATCTATATTTTCTGAAATCAATTTTCATCAGCTGTTGAGGAAAACGGTAGTTATTTACTGCTTGTGCCTTCTGGAATTAATTTTGTAAGAGTTCATTTTGTAAATAAACCTATAATCTACAATCAAGAATTTGGAATATTCGGTTGGGTGGTTGATTTGTATCTTCCACGCACAACACTGGTATTTTTATGGCAATTTTGAGGGAGTTATATATTTTCAGGGCTGCTTGCTGAACACAATGTCTTTTATGGATGCAATACCTTCCTTCAAAATTAGACAATGGCAGGTCATTGTACTTCTGTTTATTGAAGCCCTTTCTGTTCATAGACTTCTGGTTCTGGCTCCGCACTTGATGAGCAGGGGTACACAACTCGAACAGGTAAAAACCCTATATTTTTCATTTATTGTGTGTTAATATTATGAATTAGCATTCTAAAACTATGTGGTGAAGTAGATCTATAGTGCTTGAGCTTTTTGTCTTTCAGAACATTTGGTTTCTTGTTTTATTTTAAGTTCTCCAAAAAAATCTAATACTTTTATATTAATAAATCATTCATCTATTTGTTTCTCTAGTATAGAGGGCAGCTTATTAAGTTTTGTAGAAGAAACGAAATGAGTGAAACTTTTGTAATGAATGCTGAAGATGCATCATAATGCCAAAATCACATTACACGTGATCATAATTATATTGGGGTTTAACTTGAGAAGTGTGATCATTGACATCATCAGCTTTATCCCTACTATTTGGGTCAAACTATATGAAATATGAACCCTCTATTTATTCCTATTGAATATTACATTTGTTATCAACATTATTCTGGGCAAATAAATTTGCATAAGTTCTATGAAATTTATCTTTGATATAATTATTTTCTTTCTTGTATTTATCATTCCAAACTAATTCTATCTTCCCGCCTTTATGGTGCTTCCCTTCTCCTGTAACTTATGTGCTCAAACTAGGTAATCTATTATCTTATTTCCAATAGGCAATACTTCTACGTTTTCCCATATTGTATCTAATTACTGATTTTAATCTTTTCCATTTTATGACAAGTTTATCTTTGCATTTTATTAATTTACACTCAACTTGTTTACAAGTAACTTTTGCATTGTGCAACACGTTGATTTACTTAACTTAAGCAAGCAAATTACAACTATGAGATAGTGCTCAGGAGCTACTTCATTTGACAATCGAACTGTAATTCTAGTAATTGTGTCTTCTTATACATCTTCATTTTTTTTGTTTATTTCTAAAAGTTTTCTTAATTGCTTTTCATTTATTCTAGTAATATTTTATGTTTTGATTCTTTTAAGGCAAAATTTCAGATGAGATTTGGATCTTGTATCATCTTTGTATAAAATTGAAACGAAAGAGCCTGGATAGATTTTCTTTTAAGTCTTATAGGCCAAGTTTTTATTAGCTTTGGTTCTTGAGCGGGTATAACGCTTTCGGAGGAAGGCATAATTTACTTGGTCGAGTTGAGTTCAAGGCCATATGACTAGAATTAAATAATTGAAAAAGACTTGGAATGACTAGAAAGCGAGCTTTATCTTGGAGTACATTATACATACATTAAAAGGAATACCAAAAAGAAGGAAATGGAGATTGTAACAGGGAACTAAGTTACTACTTATTCATTTCATCATTCTAGACATCATAAAATGAAAAGGATTCAAGTAAGGCTACTTTGATGAGATATCATCTGACGAGCTTTCTCGCTGATTATTATCTTTTTTTGTAGATAGGATTTGACAGCTTTCTCGCTGATTATTATCTTTTTTTTTTTTAAGATAGGATTATTTCTACTTCATTTTCTGTGCTCTCACAGTATAATTTAATAACATCTCAAAATCAAGGGTAGATTGGCTAACTATCTATGACCAAGGAAATCCCCTCAATTATAATACAAGCCTTCTTCTCCAACTCAATTTTTGTTGACATTGCGTAAAACTCTTAAAATTTCTGCTATAATAACCTTGCTCTAAGAATGGATTTGGCTTAGTGCAACATTGAGATCACTTTAGAGGTGGTCTCCATTTTGCTACAGTTGTCTCCGACTCTTGAATTCAACCTAAAATGAAAGACAATAGGGTCTGTATTTGACTCTTCTTCTTCACGAGATCGTCACACACTAGAGGAATCACCTCCAGTTTAGTTTGAACATCAATACACAACTGACTTATGGTTCTATAGGCTCAGGAATTACTCCGATTCAAAAGCACCACAAATCAGTGCATTACAAAATCTGGGAGTGTCTAGGTTGGAATCGAACACATTAAGGGTCGGATTTTGATTGATTGAATTATTTTGAATTCAAAGTGAGTCCACTCAATTCAAAGATCGTCCACTCAAAATTGAGGGTAGATTGACTAACTTTTCTATGACCAAGGAGGCCCCCTCAATTTTAATACAAGCCTTCTCCAAATCAACTTTTGCTGGCATAAAAACAATGCCCATGCCCTAAAAATGGATTTGGCTTAGTGTTGTGTTGAGATCACTTCAGGTGGTTTCCATTCCGCTACAATCATCCCTGACTCTTGAATTTAACCTAAAATGGAAGAATCTAGGGTTTGTATTCAACTCTTCTTTTTCATGAAATCTTATGCACTAGAGGAATCACCTCCAACTTAGTTTGGACCTCAATATATAACTTATTGATGGTTCTCTAGGCTCATGAATAAATCCAATTCAAAAGCATCACAAACCAATGCATTACAAAATATAGGAGTATGTAGGCGTGAATCTCACTCATTAACTTCTAGTCGGATTATTAATCAAATGAATTATCTTGATTCAAAGCGAGTCCATGCAGCTCACATGACAGGATCTTTTGTTCAGATAGTTACCTCCCATCTATTTTTATTTCAGGCAGAATATTCTCATTATCAGGTATGTTCTTTTTGATGAAAATGAGGAGTGCCAATTATCTTATTGACAAATGAGGGTGAAGAAAAAAAAGAGCTTGGGATTAAAGAAGTAAAAAGTTCCAGAGAAGACATAAAGGTGGGCAGTCAATGAAGAAATAATTTCAAATAATGAAGAAGAAAGTATCAGAGAAGTAAGAGATGAATAAGAGGAAGCATAATCAGGAGAAAACTTTGAAGAATGGAGAGAAAAGGCTAAGCTCTCTTCCCTCCTCTATTAGTAGGAATGGGCATGAGCCGCCTTGTCCACTTACCAAGCTAGAAGTGGTTGCTTTAATTTGATTGTTAGTACAAATATGGGAGGAGGGGCTTGTGAAAGCCCAACTTCTTCTAGAATATCTACCCACACGTTTTGAGTTAAAGATGTTTCATGTGAGGAAAAAACCATTCTCTTTGCTCTTGTGACTTGCTAACTCTCATTATGATTTTTTTCTCCTTTAGCAAGGAGTTGTAATTTTCCCATTGGGATTTGTAACCAACTCAATATGTGCAAGTTTGGCCTAGTTAATCATCAACTGACCTAAAATAAATGACATAGGCCTCTTTCTAACCTATATTTTATAGACTGCCCATTTTATATATGACAAGATGTTGCTAACAAGGTATTCAACAAGCTCCATTTTAGTAGTGTTAATCTCCTAATTATGGAAATTGTTTGATAGTGTGTGATCAAAAATAGACTAGACTAATCTGAGATGTAGATTGCAAAGAATCATCTAGTTTCCCATTTGTGAATCGAGGTCTGAATACCCAACACAATTATTCTTGGTTGCCAGGAGAAGGAAATAGAGAAAGCTTCACTCGTCTTCACCTTAAATATCCTTAGTAAGAGGTTAAGCAACTAGCTTATTCCATCCAGCTCCATCCATTGTGACTCTAAAAGGATGATATAGATAATGTTGTTGACATGTATTCGGTGAAAAAAAAAAATCAAAGTCAAATCTTACCCGCTCTCTGCCGAACCCACGATCTCGGCACGACTCGCACGACGCACGTCGTCGCTGCCATCCCACACATCGACTTCTCCTCACTCACGATCGATCTCGCCGTTAAAAGGAGACCGAGCTCCTCTCGCCGTGGGCGCTCTCATTTTCTCTCTCTCACTCTCGACACTCTCCCTCTCCGATCGAATAGAAAGTTACAACACTTCGATCGGCAGCAACAACGCGAGCCCACTAGCTGCGAGGGTAACTTTCTCCCTCTCGAACGCTTCTTTGGATCCCTCGTGGCTGTTCGACGGCACCTATGACGACTTTCCTTTCCTTTGGAACGGAAGTTTCGGCATTTGATCGGAAGCAACCCGCAGTGAAGGTCCCTTTCTCCCTTGCGTACGCTTCTTCGGCTCCCATCGCTGCTGTTCGGCTTTGCCTCCTTCCACGACATTCCCTTCTTGTTTGGATCGGAAGTCACACCTTTGGATCGGAAGCAAAACAGGAGCTCGCGGCTGTGTAGGTAATTTTCTCCCTACCGCACGCTTCTTTGGTCAGATCCCATAAGCAGAGGAGATGAGAGGGGGAGGAGGGGGATTTTATTTGTTATTATCATGATATTATCATAAATTTTATTTTAATTATAATAATTATTAATTATAGTTAATAATTATTTGATTATAATTATAGTTTATTATTTAATTATTATTAATCAATAATTAGTTATTAATAAGTAATTATAATTATCTGATTAATTGTAATTAACTTCGATTAATTATGATTAATCATTAATTAATTATAATTATGATTAATTTGTTAATTATAGTTAATCAATAATTAATAATTAATTATAGATTATAATTAATTAATTATTATTATAATTAATATTTATTATAATTAAAAAAAATGCTTGCTCTCCTTGCCTCGGTCCACGAGCCTCCAATGTCAAGCCCGTGAAGGTACGAATCTTCTAAACTCAAATTCTCGCGTCGTTGTTCGCAGCGGACCGGAAAACCGCCTATACACGCCTTTATTACGCGTGGTCGGATGGGACCCAGGTCCGACGCCTACGACGGGCGAGCAATCGCCTAAACTCTACCTCGGTGTTCGTGGCGCACCGGAAAACCGCCTATAAACGCCTTTATTGCGCGTGGTGGGATGGGACCCCGGTGCGGCATCTACGATGAGGCGGGGTCACTCATAAGTACCCTCGAGCGAGGGAAAAGCAAACTCTGCCTTTTTAAACAGGTATCGAAGATCCCATACACGCCTTTATTGCGCGTGGTGGGAAGGCCCAGTTTTATCGTAGTTTTCCCCTAAACGGGGGAGACGCTGGGAGATTGCCGAAATTTTGGGTGAATGTACGATCGCACTCGGACCTGTTTGAACTCAAAAAGAACAAGAATCTGCATTCAGATGAACTTGAACAGTAGACTTGTGGACCGTCGAACTTGATTGAACACAAGCAGAGGACCTGAACAGAATTTAAATGATTAATAAAGATCAAATTCAAAATGAAATGAAA